ATCATTTTTATTGTTATTATTATTTTGCATTTATTTATTTATTTAGTGTGTCTTGGTGGGGGCCATTTCTCTTCTTGCACCATGTGGGCTCTGGGGATCAAACACAGGTCATCATGCTTGGCAGCAGGTGCTCTTACCTGCTGAATGATCTCACCAGCTCTATTATAACTTTTTTGAGACAGAGTCTTACTATGTAGCTCAGGCTGGCTTTGAGCTCACAGTCTTGCTTTGACTTCCTGAGTTGCTAGGATTATTGGTGTGTACTATTATATTCAGCTAGGTCCCTTTAAATATATACTTTACTCCTTTCTCTCCTTTTTATCCCCCCAGACATTGCCAATTTGTTTGCATGAGTAATTTCTTTTTCTTTCTTTCTCTCTTTTTTTTTCTTCAAGATAGGGTCTCACTATGTATTACTGTTTGGGCCTGGAACTTACTACGTAGATCAGGCTGGCCTGGAACTCACAGAGATGTGCCTGTCTCCCCCTCCCAAGTGGTGAGATTAAAGGTATTGCTACCACTCCTGGCTTGAATAAATTTTAAAATTTAAATTTATTTATTTATAGAAAGAGTCACATGTAGTCCAGGCTAGCTTGGAACTCACTCAAGGCCTGGTTTGGTCTTGAACTTTCAAATATTCTGCCTGCCTGCACTGGGTGTTGTTGTTGCCTGCCTTAGTGGTGCCTGCCTTAGTAGGCTAGCTACTTGAGGACTCTCTGTTGGGGGCGGGGGATGAGTAGGCGCCAAGTCAATGACGCAGACTTCAGGAGACTCACTCGGCAGTTAGCAAGCAAGCTTGTTTATTGTGCCGACAGTGCTTTCTTTTATACCCCCCGACCTGATCCTCATTGGTTCATTTGGCTATGTGTCTCTTCATTGGTGTGCACACTGTCCTCTGTTTGTGTCATTTGATATTGTGCTTTATGGCAGGTTTTAGGTTAGCCTGAATAAAAGAAGGATTTATGGGCCCATTTCCCCACATATCCATCAGTAGCGGGCTGCCAGCAAGCTTGTTTATTTTGCCATTAGGGCTTTCTTTTATACCCCCCCCACCCGATCCTCATTGGTTCATTTGGCTATGTGTCTCTTCATTGGTGTGCACACTGTCCTCTGTTTGTGTCATTTGATATTGTGCTTTATGGCAGGTTTTAGGTTAGCCTGAATAACAGAAGTATTTATGGGCCCATTTCCCCACATATCCATCCTTTTATTTTATTTTAGACAGCCCAGTGGGAGCTGGGATGCCTTGTCCAGATCTTGTTGGCCCCACCTCGTGGGTGCTCCAGCATTTTGGACTGTGCCTGTTTTAGGTTGGCCTACTCAGTAGGTCCTTACCCATCACTGACTACCAGCCCTCGAAGGAGCATCACCACTGTGGGTCTGTCAGGAAATTGGGGTGCTTTTTAGTCTTTCAAACAGCCGCTATCCATGCTTGTAGAACTGCCTTCGGTGGACCATGATCTTTATTTATAATTGCCAATAGAACCTGTGCCATCGTTTTATTAGTTTTCTGTTGTCATTGCACCTGCTTAAGGAGACATCTCAAAAGGACAAGAATGATTATTATTGCTAACCCCATGACTAAATAAGATACAATCCTGGAGGGATCATATATGGTTCCATACCTCCATAATAAATGAGGCGTCCAAATCTAGAGGGTTGACCTGGGTGTAATTAAGGGTGACTATTTGTTGGGCCATGGTCAGTGAAAGATTAAGGAATTCTTGTGACCAGAGCCCCTTAATTTGCTGTGAGAGCTATACTCTAGCTTGGGTCAAATTGCTTACTTTATACAGTGTTAGGCATAGATTATTATACCTTGGATCACAATTTGCAGAGAGAGGCATATATAATGTTTGGACCTCTTTACCTAAGAGGTCAATTTGTTGTTGTAGACTTTGAACAGCCGAACAAAAGTGGGCATTGATAAGTGTTTGGGTGTGGAAAACCTCGGCAGATGCCTTAACCACATCGTTTAAGGCGGTAGCTGTTTGTTTCGTGTGTGTTATAGCCACAGCAGATGCTGCCCCTGCAGCCACAGCTCCGGTAATAGCGAGAGCAATTGCCGCGGAGATCCCAAAGTTTCTTTTTTGTCTATTTGTTCTTTGTATAGTAGTTACTGCATGAAACTGAGAAGCATTGCTTACGGGTACCCATAAGGTGGATGGCAGCCAGGCAAGTAGTGCTCTGTGTGCCATTAGGGAATTCCAGCTCTGGAACTCGCTATATAGACTGGACTGGCCTTGAACTCACAGAGATCTGCCTGCCTCTGCCTCTGAAGTCCTGGGACTAAAGGCATACACCACTACACCACTCCAAAATTTGTTTAAAAGGAGTGCTTTGTCACTTTTTTTTTTGAAGTCACATTACTAGCAAATTGTACTATAAATAGAATTTTATAGGTTACTGGCTATTTGTAGAATCAGAACTTGTCATTTGAATTATTTTATTTTTCTCTCTGTATGTGTCTTTCTCTGCCTTACCTCTTCCTTCTTTCTTTCTTTGTATGTATGTAGGTATGCATGTGCCGTGGTGCCTGTTTGGAGGTGAGAGGAAAACTTTTGGGAGTCAGTTCTCTCCTTCTATTTTGTTGTGCAGGGTCTGTCTTCTTGTTTCTGCTGTTCTTCATGCCCATGCCCCAGGCTAGCTGGCCCAGGAGCTTCTGGGTGGTTCTCCTGTCTTCACTTCCTATCTGGCTATAGGATTGCAGGCATTACAAGTGCCAGATACCCATTTTTATCATTTATTTATTTATTTATTTATTTATTTATTTATT